TTCTCTTTCCTGGTTGCTCTGGTGAGGACTTCTAGTAGTATGGTGAACAAGGGTGGTGAAAGTGGGTATCATTGTCTTGTTCCAGTTCTTAGGGGGAATGCTTGAAACTTTTCCCCAATATTAAGTATGATGTTGGCTGTGGGTTTGTTGTATATAGCTTTCACTGTTTTGAGGTATGTTCCTTCTATGTCTAGTTTATTGAGGATTTTTATCATGAAGGGTTGCTAAACTTATCAAATACTTTTTCTGTGTTAATGATCATATGGTTTTTGTTTATGTGAATTCTGTTTATATGAAGTGTCATGTTTATTGTATATGCTGAATCATGCTTACGTAACACCCTTTAGGATCATGGTGTTTTATATTTTGATGTGCTGTTGGGTTCAGTTTGCTATAATTTTGTGAGGAGTTTTGAGTTTATGTCCATTAGGTATTTTTCTCTGTAGTTTTTTTTTTTTATTGCATCCTTGTCTGGTTTTAATATCAGAGTGATACTAGCCTCATAGATTAGTCAGGGAGAATCCCTTCCTCCTTGATATTTTTTGGAACACTTTTAGAAGGACTAGTATTACTTCTTTATATGTAGTAGTTAGCTGTGAATCCATCTAGTTGTGGGCTTTGTGGAGGAGAGATTTTTTTATTAGTGATTACATCTCCTTGCTCATTATTGGTCTGTGCAGGAATTCTGGTTTTTTCCTGGTTCAGTCTCATAAGGTTGTGTGCTTCATGAGGAAATCATTCATTTCCTCTAAGTTTTTAGTATGTAAGTATTTGTTCATAATAGTCTCTGATAATTTTTTAAATTTCTGTAAATTGTAATGTCTCCTTTTTTTCATTAGTGATTGTGTTATTTTGGGTCTTTTCTTGGTTAGTCTAGCTAGTGGTTTAGGAATTTTGTTCATCTTTCCAAAGAACCAACTTTTAATTTCATTCATCTCTTCTGTATTGTTCTTTTGCTCTTTGCTATTTCTTTTTTCCCACTAACTTTGGGTTTGGGTTTTACTTGTTTCTCTAGTACTTTGAGATGCATTGTTACCTTGGTAACTTGTTGATAAATTTCTACTTTTTTGATGTTGGCATTTAACACTATAAACTTCCCTTTTAAGCATTGATTTTTATGTATCCCACAAGTATTGGTATGCTGTGTTTTCATTTAAATTACTTCCTTAAAAAATTTTATTTTACATTCTTATTTCTTCATTGACCTAGTGATCATTCAGGAGTATGTTTTTAATTTACACACACACACACACACACACACACACACACAGAGTTTCTGAAGCTCTTCTCTTTGTTTTTATTATAGTTTCATGTTAATTTGAAGGTATTAAGAATTAGGTTACAGTGTTTCCATTTGTTAGGTAGAGTCCCTCTTATATTTCTGTTCTGCCCCCAAGAAGTGTGCCTTATACCCTAACATTGTGTCCATTAAGTGGGAGCACACCCATCCCCCTCCTGCCTCCCCACACCTCACTCCCTCATTGCCTTGCCAGCCACCTTGAATTGATTTGAGTTCTTCTCTTATGTGTATTAGATCATCTACTGGTGAAGGTCTTCTTAATACTGTGTTCTAATTTCATTTCACTGTGGCTCTGAGAATATACTTGATATGATTTCAATATTTAAAGATTTGTTCAGGCCCAGTGAGGTGGCTCACACCTGTAATACTAGCACTCTG